AATCATGTTTTGGGTGTACTATTCCTTTAAACAGCCATAGTCTATCAATGAACATTTTAGCTATCTACAAATCAGCTGATATATTAGAGCACTTCTTTAATTTACCTATGTGAGTAGTAGATTATACCAAAGTTAAAGAAATTAATTTCTATCCAAAAAAATCTTTTTTTACAGTTAAATTGAATCAGTTTGCTTTGTTTGTTTTATGAGTGAAGACAAAAGGATTAATTTACCCTATTGAATTAAAAACATTATAAGCCTAATCCATCCATCCATTTTCTTTCCCACCTATTCCAAGCGGGGTCACTAGGGGTGCTGGTGCCTCTCCAGCTGTCTACGGGTGAGAGGCAGGGTCCACCCTGGACAAATATCCAGTCTATCACAGGGCAACACAGAGACAAACAACCATTCATGCACACACACTCACACCTAAGGAGAATATAGGGAAGCCAATTAACCTAATAGTCTTTTTTGGGGGGAGTTGTGGGAGGAAGCCAGAGTACCCAGAGAGAACCCACACATACACAGGGAGAACATGCAAATCCCATGCAGAAAGACTCTGGGCCGGGAATCGAATCAAGAACCTTCTTACTGCAAGGCAGCAGTTCATCTTATTAGTGTCCAGTTTGAACCCTACTCTGTCCATCTCAGTTGCTCTGTCTTTGAGAGATTTCATCCTCTTTACATGCTGATTATGGTCATCTGTGGCTACAATGTAGTTTTGCAGAATCACTGTGTGTATGAATGCCTGAACAACTCTTAAAAGCGCTTTTTGTCTGTCAACTAAGATATTTGCTTTTGACTATAAATGATACCAAAATCTGGAAAAAACCTAAAAAGGACCCCAACCCAACCCCGCCTGCTCATTTCCTGTCCAGTTTAAGAAAAAGAAGGCTACCAGCACCAAACAAAAACAGCATGTGAAAAATATTTACCCATTTTAATGATTAATAGAAACATTTAATTAGATATTACTCTACTATTATTTTCTTATTTTTTATTTCTTATTTTTATTTTGTTTTTCATTGTGTGCAATACATGTACGCTTGCACCTTAATCCTTATTTATCTTGATATACTGTGTATATATTGTTTATTCTTAGTGCACATTTTCCCTCCTTGTTTGCACCTTCTTTAATCACTATGCCAATATGTGACGAGTGAATTTCTCCTCTGTGAGATCAATAAAGCTCATCTAATCTAATCTAATCTAATCTAATCTAATCTATCCTCCAACAGATTTAGGTTGGGGACATTTGAATGGACCAGTAATAATTATTAATCCATTCCTATCTACCAATAGTGTAAAAAGTATATAGATTTTCTGTTTTGAACAGTAGCTAGTTCATTGTTTGTTGCCATACCTGATAAACAGATCTGCACAAAACCTTAAACCTTATTACTTGCACAGACTTCTGCATTTTCATGTCATATGGTTTAGATTTTGTTTGGATCTGTTTGTCAGGTAATGTCTTTAGTACAGTTTAGCTTGGTGTGATGGACATCATTGTACATGCCTGAATGCCTGGCAGCCATTTTTTTTTATAATAATGGTCTTATTGACCCTTGTTTGCTTCATTGTGACCCAACTGGATTCAGCTTCTCTCTGTTTCCTACTACATCACTGTGGAGTGCGACGTCAGGTTTCAGGCGGTGACTGACACAGCTTTCTCAGTGCTGTAGCTGATGTCAGTCACATTGTGACAGACTGGTCAGAGTAAAGCAACCTTGAGCTTCTTCTCTCTTTGTTAAGCTTCTAATACTGTCTCAGAATGAGGTACCCTGCTAGTAACATTTTTTTGTCTTCTATTGTGACTGTTTTTTTTTTTTCCAGGAAATAATCACTGTTCCTAAACGCATTTGTGTTTCTGTTTGCAATGCAGAGCGATAGCTATGTCTTCCAGCTCAGCAATGGTACGGATCCTGATAAAGGGTGGAAAGGTGGTGAACGACGACTGCACCCAGGAGGCCGACGTCTACATCGAGAATGGCATCATCCAGCAGGTCGGGAAGGAGCTGATGATCCCCGGAGGAGCCAAAGTGATCGATGCCTCAGGGAAGCTGGTGCTTCCTGGGGGGATCGACACCAGCGTCCACCTGGAGGAGACCTTCATGAACGCCGTCAGCGCAGACGACTACTACAGTGGCACCAAGGTAACGTCCCAAAGTAGGGAGAGGTCTGGGGAACTTTAACCTTTTAGGCAAGAGAACTCTCAGATTCAGTTGTTGGGGAAATCAACAGGGCATCAATCTGGATTAATGGCAGTCGGTGTAGTTTTGTCCAAAAGATATGGAAGGAGGATTTCAGCTATAATTTAATACAAAATCTCAGCAACGAATCATATCTTTGATTCCTTGTTGTATGTTTTGATCAAAAGCTTTGTCTTGTTATTATAAACAGAACTTTTCCTACTGTCTAAAAAGTTGGACAACTTTTATTGAACCACATGTTTTATTTAGTTTTTCACTCTATAACTCGTCCAGCTACTCATAGTTTAAATCACTATCCTGAAGCCAGGTTACTCATTTTTGAGAACAGGGTCAGCAGTTTTAGGGGTCTTTGTCTGGGAGTTTGAGGCACTTTCTGATTTTTAGAAGTCAGTTTTGCTGCTTCTGATCCCTGACTTTTGAAGTCGTTTTGATCTGCTGATGGCTTTTTCTTTAGCCAATTCTGATTTCTCTATAAGGAATATAAAATAAGCACATATGAGACCAGCATTTTTGTTTTTATAAACTCTCTTCATTGGTTGATTATTTATATTTGGAACAGAGGCCATGACACAACACTAGCTATAAAATGGAATTTACAGGTTTTTTTTGTTTTTTTTGTTACTGTTCAAACGCTCCTCCTCCCTGAGTTCTGGTCTGGCAAAGTGATCCAAACAAACTATATTATAATAACAATAATTAATTTTTTTTTACTTTTAAGTTGAATTTCCTTAAAGGAGAAGTTCGGTTTTTTACACTTTAAGCCCATTTTCTGTAGTGTCCAGGATGAAATCGAATGATCGACACCAAAATTTTGACAATTGGTCCTGTCTCTGCTTTTTGGCTCATTTAGAATCACCCCCTGGCTGCTTTAGAATGGCTTCCATAGAGCATGTCCGATAATGTCCTTAAAACAACCTTAAACGTTCTTTTTTTAAAATATGCTACTCACCGGGTCGTCAGCGCTGTTCAATGACGTTCCAAAAAAAGTTTCGTAAAGAAAAAACGTTCCTGTAGTGTTTTATTTAGCATTTTGTAAATCCCATTGAGTTCTGTAGGAATAGTCAATATTCCGCTGCCACCGGAAACGGAAATGGGGCCTGTTTACACAGTTGTAGTCTTTTCGCTTCACTCTGTGTACTCCGACGTCGAGGTGCTAACGTCTCTGTTAAACACTTTAAAAAACTCTGAAAATGGAATACGAAAGGTGGATTCTTGATTCTCGACGTCGGAGTACACAGAGTGAAGCGAAAAGACTACAACTGTGTAAACAGGCTCCATTTCCGTTTCCGGTGGCAGCGGAATATTGACTATTCCAACAGAACTCAATGGCATTTACAAAATGCTAAATAAAACACTACAGGAACGTTTTTTCTTCACGAAACTTTTTTTGGAACGTCATTGAACAGCGCTGACGACCCGGTGAGTAGCATATTTTAAAAAAAGAGCGTTTAAGGTTGTTTTAAGGACATTATCGGACATGCTCTATGGAAGCCATTCTAAAGCAGCCAGGGGTGGATTCTAAATGAGCCAAATAGCAGAGACAGGAGCAATTGTCAAACTTTTGGTGTCGATCATTCGATTTCATCCTGGACACTACAGAAAATGGGCTTAAAGTGTAAAAAACCGAACTTCTCCTTTAAAGCTGGGTTAATTTGTTTAGTTTATGTCGATTCAAAACAAGTCAGATTAAAAGAATCAGATGCTTTTGATTTTATTCTGAAATAAAAAAACTAAACTGACCACACAGACACATCAGGCTAAAATAGTCTGCTGTCTAGAGGCAGAGGGATACATTTCTCTATACACATGCCTAAGTTGTTGCTGGTCAAACGCTATGACTGATTACTCATTAAATACAGATAAAAATAATCTGCTTGATTTACTTAAAAAGTATAATGAATTTTTTTGCATAATTTTATTACGTAGATCCAACAAGATTATTCTTTGAAAAAACACTTATTTTCTCTGTTTGTGAAAATAAAATTTTCACATAAAGTTAACTTAATTTTAGCTTTGCTCTAGTTATTTTTTTGTGTGTTGGATCTACATATCTTCTAAATGTGTACTTTTGTCTGAATCCAAATAAATCTTTATGTTACTTTGTTTAAAAACATTTAGTGTATTTTAAAGTACTCAAATGTACTCAATTTTTTAATTAGCAACTGAGTATTTCTACTGAAAGTATCATACATATAGTTTTTATTTTTTTTTTAACTACTTTTACTACTATTTCCTAGTTCAACACTGGTACTTGTAAACACAATGCTAGTAGTATGTGCTCATCAAAGATGGATTTGTAGTTATTACATTGCATAAAGCTGACATTTTGGTCATTTAATAGTGAAAACTGACAAGTATAATAAAATATATACACCAGACATGTTGAGACATTTTGTACAATAGAAAATTGTGCTTCATGGTGATGGTAGAGGAAAGCTCATTAAGTGAAAGTTGACAGGCTTTATTGTCGTCAGAATTATAGTCACAAAATTCAAGTCAATACATTTCAAGATGTGCATGCTGTGGCCAAAGGTTAACTGTAATATGACAAAACAATACATTTACAATATATTCACATTGTGCAAAACATTTTACATGAATTATGTGTTTCTCACTTCTTTACAGTAACGTTTCCTTCAAATGCTCATTAAGAGACTCACAAACATAACTTAAAGATAAGTTAAACTTAACTTTCTTAACATCACTATAAGAAAATGCAGTAGTGCAACTAGAAAGTGAATTCGGAGAACCTGAGAAATTTAACTGTAAAACTTTAAGAGAGGGATCTAACTCAAACCCTGTAAAATCAATAACACCTGTAGCTCTTCTCTTTGAAATGCACAGGGTTTCCAGACCAACAAAACAGGAAGGGGAGCAATTTTTGGTACTGAGTAAATGAAATAAGGTATTGTTTGTTGTGAGTGTGTATGTCAAAAGATTGGCTGGGATTACTTAGATTAATTTTGTAAAGGAAAAAAATGCACATTGTCTTGTGTTTTGAACAAACGCAGATGAATTCAAAACCAGATTTATTATGTAAAGATACTAACGTAACATTTAATTGTTAATATTACACATTTTAATTACGTAACATTTACATTAACACAGATTTGTTTTTTTTTCAGTGTATAGGTGGGTAAAGTTCTTGCCCTTATATCCTGAAGTGACGGCAGAAAAGTCAAGCCACTTTCCTCTAAAGTATCTGCTTTCATTTTTTGTGATTCTTCTGATTTAATTTGAAACGCCAAAGTGGCCTTTAAAAAAGCTGACTTTCAGTCTCCTTCTCTCAGTAACAAGCTTGCACGTGGAAGAGTGTCGCCTCCACAACGATATGGTTGTACCTAATTGTGTTACATTCACTTTGCTTTGGCAGATAGCATGTCACTAGCCCGGCCTGATCAAGGTTATAATCCTTTGACTGTTATACATCTCTGCTTCCAGGTTGATTCCCATTGGTCGGCTGCTCAGGAGAATATTGCTCAGAAAATAGATTTCTTTGTTAAAGCAAATTAACCAAAAAAAGCCCATAAAATATTAAGTGGTAAACAACTGTACTTTTAAAAAGGTGGATACCCAGCTGGATGTTGGACAGGGTTTAGATAAATGCTTTTAAATCCACAGGAAATAAAAAAGTTATAAGCCTCGATAATAAGTGAATTTTCATTTTTTTTTTGTTTTATTTTTCATTCTTTCTAAAAAAAAAAAAAAGCTGAATTAGCAGAAATGCTTTTTGTTGAATCACTGATAAATAAATGTAAAATATCATCCGAGGTTGATATCTGATGAAAGGAGTAATTGTGTGTTCGCCAGATGTCCTGTTCAATTTCAGGCTTGGATAATGTCCCGTGACTCTACAGCTTTTAATGACGATGTGAGCTGAAATCTGAGAACTGCTGAATTTCAAACAAACCCAAAGACTCTTGCAACTGTTCCCCATCTTCCTTACTCATCCTGGCCTCTATCTGATGGCATCAGGCTCCTCCTTTGAACAAAACCTTGAGACAAATGCAGATTGCTAGCTGTTTCCATGGATACCGAGGGGCTGCTGTAAAGACTGCCGTAAAATCTTTTCACTCACGCCATTGTGCTGAGGAACAATAGTCCTTAGATCCACACCCCACTCTGTCTGCTGTCCTTCGCCACAATCCACGCCAGCCGGGCCCCTCCAGGGTCAGCTGACAGAGGCTCATTGAAGCAGAAACTTATTCACGGAAGCTTGCTGTCTTCAGCGGTTGAGTTTTTTCAGGTTTATCAGCAGGGAATATACTTACAGGTCATACAGTAATAATATAGTAATGGCTTTAAGTAGTTCATGATTGCACAGTAAGGTATATCAGCCTGGTAGTTAATCTACTGATCAATTTGTGTTTCACTTATTTGTGTTTGTTGATACTTGCAAGGATCAATGTTTATAGTTTTTATAATTCAGGGTTTGGGATGCAGCTTATTATATTATGGCTTTGTCAATATTTATTGGGTTCATAAATATATTTCACATCTTATATTAAAGATTCTTTTGTATACAGGTTATTTTGTGATCCGCTTTCATACTTATGTTGTAACTTTCTGAAAAGGAAGTGGAAAAAGTACTTTAAAGAAGTGTAAGTTCATTCCTGTCAGGATTTGGTTGAGGTTTGAGGACCCAAAGCAGATGCAGGGAGGCAGAGGTGCATTCCTTGATGATTTAATGAAGTGAAAACAAACAGCTGAGGCAGGAATCCAAAAATCAAACATGATAAAAAAATCCAAACAAAACAGAAACCATGGAGAGTTCAGGGGGAAACATATCATAAGGAGGAAGACTCAGAGAGACGGAGTTGGAGGAAGTTAGACGAGGAACCAGCAATGAAGAACTGCACAGAGAGAGGATTTATGGGAGACTGAAGCAAAGAGGACTAACGAACAGATTGGGAGCAGGTTTGAACAGAGCAGAACAGGAAAGGAGCTAGGGAAAAAGGAGAACACAAGAGGGCAGCAGAAGGCAAAAAAAATAAAAACCTGAAAACTGAAAATAACCAGAAAACAGAACAAAATAAGAATTAAATCACTAAAACTAGAAAACATGGAACAAAGCAAAAACTGAATACTTAAAAGAAAGCATAACAGAACCAAAACTGTGACCATTTCATTCCATTGGAGAAAATAGTCCTTTGAAACTATTTACCTTCTTACATTTTTTTCTGTTTTCATGCTTAAATGTATAATCAAAAATGTAATTTAACACAAGAACAACCTGAGTTTAATTCAATAAGCAAATTCAGATCATTTATATGATATTTCTTTCTCCCTAAACATAATTACTGGTTTTCCATCAAGCATTTGCAATTACTACAAATGTGCCTGTCGTATCTCTTTGGAAAAGATGTAGTTCTAAATGTAAGCTAAAGCGTGGCTGGGCTATGCAGTAGGACAATTATCCAAATAGCAACAGGAACTATGTCCTAATAGCTCTATGAATAGCCTAGACAAAGTCTAGAGTTCAGCTCTTCATTGTGGCTCATTAAGCCCTGAGGGTCTTATGAACAAATTCTGCCTGAAATTACATATACAGTATCAATTAAAGCGATTACAGCTGCCAAACTATAAATTGGAAATACTATTGTTTTTATTTGTTTATTTGAAAGGTACTGATGAATATTTTTCAGGTGGAACAACTATTTTAAATAGAAAAAATAAAAAAAATTCTGGATTGAACATTTTTATGACTCTTGTCTGATCTGGAACTGGTTCTATTAGGAATGTGTACACTGTATAAAAGGCTGTTTTGGGGGATTTTGTTTACAGGCTGCTTTAGCTGGCGGTACAACAATGGTGATTGGACATGTCCTTCCAGAGAAGAATGAGTCTTTGCTGGAAGCCTATGAGAAATGTCGCAGCATGGCAGACCCGAAATCCTGCTGTGACTACTCCCTCCATGTAGGAGTTACATGGTGGGGACCCAAGGTACAAAACTCTTCCCTATGCTAAAAATTACAATTGGACAAATGCATTAAAAGGTTAAGCTTTAAAATTGTGAATCAAGCACTTTAACAGTACCTTGAAAAAAAAAAAAAAAACTTGTATCGTATTTTTTCTTGCTTTGTCCCGTTTCAACTGCAAACTTTTTTTTACTTTGTATAGATTTTATGTGGCACACAGACCGGTACAGAAACGACAACAAAAAATGCAAAAAAGAATAACCAACAATTTTAGGCTGCAAGTTCAGTCGCAACACATGATATCTGATTTTATTACACAGTAATACAATTCAATTCAGTTAATTTATATAGCGCCGATTCATTTTTAGTATCTGAAATCAGTTTAATCCCATCCAAATGAAGTGACTGGCTAATCAGCCTATTTTTCAAAGACTCTGGTCCAAAGACTATAACTTCTGTTTTGTCTGCATTCAGAAGGAGAAAGTTAAGAGTCATCCAGGTTTTTATGTCTTCAGACATGCCTGTAATCTATGTAATGGGTTAGCTTCATCTGGATTATAGACAGATATAGCTGGGTATCATCAGCATAACAGTGAAAATTAATCCCATGCTGTCTAATAATTCTACCGATTGGGAGCATGTATAAAGTAAAGAGAATTGGTCCTAGCACTGATCCCTGTGGTACTCCACAGGTAACCTTTGAGCATGAGGAAGATCTATCATTAACATGAACAAACTGAATTCGATCGGATAGATAAGATTTAAACCAGTCTAGCGCTGTTCCTTTAATTCCAACAAAATATTCAAGTCTTTCTAAAAGAATATTATGGTCAACTGTATCAAATGCAGCACTGAGATCCAACATGCAGTAATGCAGTAAGAATTATTATTATGACTGCTGGTTTGTCACATAAAATCCCGAAAAAGTGTAAAAAGGTTTGTGATTGTAATGTGAAAAAACAAGAAGCAGTGTGAATGTATTTCAAGGATCTTATTTTCTCTATTGTGGTAGGATTTTAATTGATCTACAGTTTATTCATTGGCTTCTTATTAACAGGGTAAAATACAGAAATTTGCATAGTTTATAGAAACATTAATAACTGGACTACTTTTGTGTAACATGGCTTTTACAGCTTGACTGTTTCCCGTCTACAGGTGCGAGATGAGATGGAGAAGCTTGTCAGAGAGAAAGGAGTGAACTCTTTCCAGATGTTCATGGCCTACAAGGAGTCGTTCATGCTGAGGGACAGCGAGCTCTTCCAGGCTTTGCAGCACTGCAAGGACATCGGGGCCATTGCAAGGGTCCATGCTGAGAATGGGGAGCTGGTGGCAGAGGTTAGGAGAAACCCATGTGTCGGACGCAAAAAACGTATAGTTAAACATGGAGAATTTTTGACGGTTAAATCTAGCAAGACGCCACTTTTCTGATACAGTATTTTGAAATAGTTTATCAATAAAAGAGATGCTTTGTTTCCTTGCCTCCTCAGGGTGCAAAAGAAGCTTTAGACCTTGGCATCAGTGGCCCTGAGGGTATTGAAATCAGTCGGCCTGAAGAGGTATGAAGCTGTTTTTAAACCCTAATAAAATAACCTTTTATTCCTCTACTCTGGTCTGCAGTACAAGTATTTTTTTTCTAAATACACTCTCTACCTTGCAGAAGTATTTATACCTCCTAATATTTTTCCACTTCTCTCTGTAGAATGTGGGTCTGCAGCCTGTGGCTCCAAAGCCATATTTTATATTTTTGCTCGTTCTGCCCCTGAGTCGAGAATAAATTAAGCTCTGTTTGTTATATCTTCTTGGAATTCCACAGCAGATTAACACTAATGGTGGAAAAGATACACATTATGTACATGCATTTAGGCCCAAAATTATTCATCCCCCTGGCGGTTATGAATATAAAAAAAATATGTTTTTTATACCAAATGGAAAAAGAAGTATCATTTATTTTCTTCAGATTCTCAAGCTGGCACTATTAAGAAGAAAAACACTGGTGAAATTATATGACGGTTTGAATGGGTTTTCCCTTCATTTACATAAAATTATGTTTTTATTTGTTAGTTTTCAGATTTTCTGAAACCATAATAGAAATAACATTATGACTCTTTAATTTAGCCTTGAAAACAGTTCCTTAGAATCATCTTTCTACTTTTAACGTCTTATTTGATGCTTTAGATCAATTTTGTTTTGCATAAAAGTCCTGCTTCCTACACAGTTTTTAGTTCTTTCACACATAGGTCAAAGAAGACAGTACTCATAGTGAAAAATGATAGCAGTATCATGCTGTGGGAATAGGTAATGTTTTATGTCCTTTGAATAAAAGGCTATTATTATGTTTGCAAATCAATCTAAAGGATTGTAATATAATAATTTCTTACTGTCCCTGGGTTGTTTCCAGCTGGAAGCAGAAGCGACACACAGGGCAATTACAATCGCAAACAGGGTAAGGAAAATGTCAGCATTATCCTAATAAGCACAAATAAATGATAAACTTAACAACCTCCAGATGGGATGGCTGTAATTGATATAAAATATATATTTATACTTGTTCTGTTTTAGGCCCACTGCCCAATCTATCTTGTCAATGTGTCCAGCATGTCTGCAGGAGATGTGGTGGCTTCAGCTAAAATGCAAGGTGAATCTGACTTACTTTAAATAGCACGGACCCAGGAATCATCCTTTTAGAATGTGATTGTTTCCCTGCTTTTCCTTTTACCGGCTTTCATTTGGTGTGGTCACAGGTAAGGTTGTTCACGGAGAGACAACCACAGCCCATGCTGTCCTCAACGGCATGCAGTACTATCACCAGGACTGGTCCCACGCAGCTGCCCATGTCACTGTGCCTCCTCTCCGCCTGGACCCCAGTACTCCAAACTTCCTTATGAGTCTGCTGGGAAAGTGAGGAAACTCTAAAAAAAATCTCTCATTAACAATAACTGATTTTGGTGCTTCTGGCTTGTTGAACGTCATGTGGTGAAATAATGTGACCTAACATGGCTTTCTGCTTTCTGCCCAGTGATACTCTCAATGTCCTGGCATCCGATCACCGTCCATTCACAGTGAAACAGAGAGCAATGGGCAAGGATGATTTCACAAAGATTCCTCACGGCCTTCCAGGCATTCAGGACCGTATGAGCGTCATCTGGGAGAGAGGAGTGGTATGTGTAGCTCTTTTGTTTGGCAGCCAGAGAGCTTCCAGAAATAGGACATATAACCCAGAAATAAAAACTTTAACTCCAATTATTTTCCTTAAAGAAAATGTTTCCTTTCTTCAGCCTTTTTGTGTTGTTTAAATAATACAGATCGGATAAATCCAAATCAACATTGCCCTATGGGAAAATATTACTGACTGCCTTAATACATCATGAGGTTAGTTTTACTTTTGGTTCAGTTTCACAAGCTAGAAAACCACAATACCATGTATAGCTAATAGTCCTGCGGATGGAAGATTTCCTTTTGGGTCTAAAACCCGACATAGGAGCATTGGAAGACCTAGAGATTGCCTGAATCTATAGGTCTCTTCATAGCTTCTCTATTAAATTCAACTTCAAATGATTTATATAACTTTGATCAATTCAGTTTATTTATATAGCGCCAATTCACAACACATTTAATCTCAAGACACTTTAGAGAGACAAATAAATCAGATCATACAGTCAGGTTGGTTCAAAGTTTTGTATCTAAAGTCATTAACTTGACAGCAATCCCTCACACCAAGCATGCATGCAGAGACATTAGAGAGAAAAACTCACTTTTAGAAGGAAAATACCTTAAGTAGAACACAACCAGTTAGTCAAAGTAAATGTCATCGGTTTACGAATCTGACCCATATGCAGAGAAACCACTCAGAGAACAAGGGAAAAGTTGAACAGGTTTATTGAGGTAAGGGTTGAGGGGTTGGATCTGGAAACTCAGAGAGCTGGTGAACCGGAACTGGAAGTGAGAAAGGAAGTTTACAGAGATCAGTTCAGGTACCGTGGGAATCTTGGATGCCGAAAGGATAATGCTAGTGAGGGACTCACGTTTGAGGGGGTCTTGTCAATCCTTGAATCCAGTCTGTGTGGGTTAATCCAGAGTGAACACGTTGGAGAGCGGACAGGTAGACAAACGTTGGACACGGAGGAGTAATGGAGCAGACTGTCACTTGGATTTCCGATGAGCACTTGAACGGATCATGTGGAAGTTTTCCCCTGCTCAGTGTGAACTCAGCTTTTCCTTCCAGGAGGGAGAAGGACCAGGTATCCAGTTTAACAGGAAGTCTTCCTGCCGAAGAACAAAGACAAAAGAACATTAGTCTCAGTGAAACAAAGCTTAGATAGACTCTGCTAATCTCAGCTTGGCTAGAGTACCCAAAACTGGCACACAACCTGGAGTCGAGGTAGTGACAGCCCACTGCTCAAATACTGCTCCAGATAATGGCCCAATCAGCCGCAGGCATGCAGGGAGGGACAGTGAAAAAAGAGCACCTCCTGGTGGAGGGAAAGGAAACACACAAACAGGCCACACACACTGGATTCCTAACAGTAAAAGCTGAGCCCATAGCTATGTCTAAGAGAGAAACAGGGCTGGACACTAAAAAACAGGCCCAATGCTATTATCTTCAATCTAAGGTGATGGCAGCAGAGCCTGGCTGATATTTCTCTCCAGGATAGGCAGGTTCAGGGTTCCATGAGTCCAGCAGAGAGCTCAGGCAGACACGCTCAGACGGAAACAAGCAGGCTCAATAGTTGAGAGGCACATGACCAGACACAAGGGAAACTGTGTAACTTTAAACTCGCTCCGTCCACTGAGCCGAAACAGGAACAAGGCCCGCTCAGCTGACAGGAGCCAGGGCACACCAAAACAAGATTAACAATCCTCTCTAAATACTGGCCTCCTGGAACAAAAACTAGAACTAAGGCATCAAAGTTAAACTAAAAATTACACACTCAAACATACAAACATCATACAGTGATCTGGCCCCGATAGCTGGGCTGAGCCGAATAAAAAGTAGCAGGAGCAGGTGGATAAGATGAATGATGATTAGTAACTGGGCAGAGTTAGGCAGGTGAGTGAACAATTAAACGTGACTAGAACAGAGACCAACCTGCATCAGTTCAAACATGACTCAAAGTTGGGGGTTTTTATTCTCGGAAATTATAGGTCTTTTTTGAACGGCAGTAATAAAGACATTCTTGAGAAAAGGCAGGTTTTATTGTATTATATTTGTTCTACATCACGTCAACCACAAATGCAGAAAATTTCAGACCTCTAGCTATAACAGTTCCAGAGCTATGAGGTTTGGAACTTTTGATATCAGCTTGGAGCTGCGTGCAATGGCTCCACCTGCTGGTGGGTTTTAAGAGGTTAAGGAAAATGTCCAGCATCAGTCCATGACAATTAAGCAAAGAAGCAAAGCATAATCAAAACGCACAATAGCAAATCCACCTCTTACTGACCGCAAAAAGATAAATAAAAGCACTGAGGGGCTTTGTCAGATTTCAGTGGAAATTGTTTTTTCTAATAAATTTTCACATAGGGTCAAATTATATCGGGTATACTCATTACTTTATAAAATAAAATCAATCATTAATGATGGTCCATTTATTTCTTGCTTGAGATTTGATTCATTTAATAATCTGAACAATTAAGAGTTGTCTAAAAAAACAAACAGATCCACCTGTCAGGGGAAAAATGTTTATGAACCGTATCAGATACAACTTTTTTCTTTCCTTACGTTTAAGTCTTTAATTATGTAAACTTGATATTTATTTTACTTACAGGTTGGTGGCAAAATGGATGAAAATCGTTTTGTTGCCGTCACAAGCTCTAATGCTGCTAAGATCTACAACCTGTACCCCCGGAAAGGCAGGATCATCCCTGGAGCGGATGCTGATGTGGTGGTCTGGGACCCTGAGGGATCTAAGTATGAAACTCTAGCCATGCATTTATTGACCAGTTTGTCTCCCTGCAGCTTTTATCTCCATTCTCAGAGGTCAATCAAGCTCTTGTCTGAGTGAACTCTGTTATCTCTGTTTTCATAACTGCCTGCAGGACCATTTCAGTGGATAATCAGTTCCAGGGAGGTGATGTAAACCTGTACGAAGGCCTCCGTTGCCGTGGTGTGCCCCTGGTCACCATCAGCCGTGGACGTCTGGTCTATGAAAATGGAATGTTCACATGTGCTGAAGGCTCTGGGAAGTTTTGCCCCTTGAGGACTTTCCCAGATTACCTTTACAAGAAGATGGTTCAAAGAGAAAAGGTGAAAAAGTGGCTACAAGTAGACTCAGGAACGCTAACTTCATACAGCATTGATATCTGCTATGAATAACTGCTATTGGAGATTTGTGTTTTTGTTTTTTTTGTCATGGTGACTTTTCTTTTCCTGATTTAACTTTTATATATTTTTGAATCCCCTTGTTCTACCAGAGCCAGGCGGTGAAAGCTGTTGAGCGGGAACCCTACAACGGTGACGTCGTTGCTGTGGTGAATTCAGGAAAGAGAGACACTGGCTCTTCAGATTTGGACACACCGACGCGCCCCTGCACCCGTCATGGGGGTGTGAGGGACCTCCATGAGTCTAGCTTCAGCCTTTCTGGTGAGGATTAGCCCTAACAAACCTCAGCAGCATGAGTTTTAAATTGTGAAATATGAGAGCAAAAAGATGTATTTCAAGATATTTATGCATATTGGTACTTTTGAAGCATCTAACTAAGAATACCATATAAAAAAAGACCCAATGAGGGCGCTGTAGTGACTAGTTTGGCTTTGAGGTAGGATTAGGAACCTGGAAATGGCTGCATTAGTTTCAAAATCTTAGTTTTTAAAAATAGAGAAACACAAATATGGGATTACCTTTTTTCAGTGAGTTGAGAAAAAGCAAACAAATACATGTTCATAAGAGCTACGGCAACCTTCCTCTAAACATGTGCTATGACCCCTAAATGCCTCACAGAACTACAACACTCTTACTGATAGTAAATACTTTTTTTTTTTTACTTCTAAAGGCAATAGGTTTCACAGATCCTCTTTTTTTTTTTTTTTACCTGTATTTAAAAACACATTCATGGCACTTTTTTTTTTTTTTTCATTCATAATTTACTTCTTCACAGTTGCGCACATTTTGGTGTTGATATTTCACTTTGAACCCGATAAAATATATTTGTTTGTAGTTGAAGTTTGGAGAAAAGAACTTTTCCAAAATGTGTGTTAAGGACGTATCCTCATTAAAAATGAACACGTTTTTTCACAATTCACTCATAAAGCAATTGAATCATATCTAGTCGATTAAATGACGATACAGTTTTTTGCTAGTGTGTTAAAATCCAAAGACATCTACTTTGAATTAATATTAAATAAAATATTTAATATCAAATAAAAACTCCAACAAATATAGCTGAGTATCATCTGCATATAGTGTGATAGAAGTTTGAACATATGCAGCCAGTAGTTTCTGCATCTAATATTTTTGTCTTTTTAAAAGAAATTTATTTAAAACACATTTTTAGATCTCACATCTGTGTGTGCTTCGGTGGAGCAGAGGTTAGCATGCAAAACCCATATATGGAGGCCTTAGTCCTCGAAGTGGCCCACCCGGGTTTAAATCCGACCTGCAGTCCTTTGCCGTGTGTCTCGTCCGCCCTTTCCTGTCATGCCCACTGTACAAAAAACGAACCACTAATGCTGTCAAAACTTGAAAAAAATTGGTTCTCTAACTTTCAAAATGATACCATCCATCTATCCATTTTCCGTCACGCTTAATCCCAGTTTGGGTTGCGAGAGGTGCTGGTGCCTATCTCCAGCTGTCAATGGGTGAAAGGCGGGGTAAAGCTGCACAGGTCGCCAGTCTATTGCAGGGCAACATAGAGACAAACAACCCTTAATGCACACACTCACACCTAAGGATAATTTAGAGAAGCCTAAGGCCCCGTCCACACGAAGCCGAACCCTGGCCTAAACACACAAATTTTTCACCAAACCAGCCTCTATCTACCATCCATACGAAGCAGGCATTTCGGGGGTCTGTAAACAATCTTTTTTTTATTTAGCCTTCAGAGTGGGATTTTGAAACGCTGTTTTCGCGTTTCCATCTTTAAGCTCTAACCGCATTTTTTTTCTTACACGCATGCGTCATAGCGTCGCCTCTAAACACGCATGCGCGACGCAGTATCACAACAATGGCACCGTACTGTGTTGAATG